CTAAGAAGGGCAGAATTAGGAACAAGTGGAACTGTGCCCTCTATTTGTAACCATTACTTCTACAACGTCATGTTTTAGGAAAGCACTTTCCCGTGAACCTCTCTGTGCTTCAGTTTCCTCCTCCGTGAAATGGGGCCAATAGCAGGAATAATGAATAACAGCAACGCTCCTTCACAGGGGTGCGGCGAGGACTCGGCGGTTGCTGTGGGGGCGCCCAGAGCAGAGCCTGGCACAGCACTGTCACCCAGCGTATTCTATCGGCACCACCACTGCTGCCATCGTTACCTCCCCGAACTGCAAGGGAGCTCTGCTGGTTGTAAACCGTGTCTGGTCCCCCTTGGTGTCCCAGCATCCTCCCTGTCACACAGTAGGTGCCCAACACATGCTCATTGAATCAAAGTTATGTGAAGGCACATATCAAGGTGCTCCGAGGATATTATTACAAAGATTTAGCAATGAACCATCATCCCCAGCTGGTGTGAAAATGTTCAATGGGCTGAGGTTGCTCAGAAACAGACTGAGTCCTCGGGCAGGGATGTGCGGACGGGCGTGCGGTTGGGGCCACGTGCCCTGCAAGCGGTATGGGTCGGTCAGCAGGCCATCCAGAGATTCAGGATACCCATCTCCTCCTTTCCAAAGGGCCCTCAGCCAGGACACCTGGCAAAGGAAGGGCAAGGACCCCCCCCAAAACACACACACACTTTTCAAATGGGAAACCAAGGGGCATTCCCTAATATGTCCCTCTTGTCACTGAGAGCATTTCCGAGACCCTTCCCACCTGGCCAACCTCTTCCCCGGGACATGCAGAGGCCCAGACAGCCTGGATGCACAGAGTGCTCGATTTCCTGGGCTACAATCATATCTCGAGTCGATTTTCATAAAATGCAGTGACAGATTTAGGTGCTGGGAAGATGGCGCTTTCTCGGAAGGCATTAAAATGACCTAAACGGTTCAAATCAGCTGAAATCCAGCAGCTGGGGGCTTTCATTCTTCTGCGGCCTGTGCAAACCCAGGTCTGGGCCCTGCCAGGTGCTGCTGGGCCTGCGCCGACTCCCTCTGGTCACAGGATGCCTGTCTCTCCCTGAAGGTTCCGCTAACAATGTTTTGCGGTGAACTAGCAGGTGCGGTGGCACTGGTCTCTGTGTGCTCTTAGAGGCCGTCTTCCCAGAGAAGCTCTTCGCCCAGCGACCTGAAGATGAATACCAGAGGACTTGGATCTCAGCTAAAGGACAGTATTCCAGCTACTGAGCTATCCGCAAGTGGACCTTGTGAAAATCATGATCTTCTCCGAAAAGGTTTTTCTTGTGTGAAAAATGAACTTTTGCCCAGTCATCCTCTGAATTATCAGAAAAATATTTCCAGCTCAACCAAGATAAAATGAAATTTTCTACACTGAGAAACATCCAGGGTCTGTTTGCTGCACTAAAATTGCACATGGAATTCAAGGCAGTGCAACAGGTTCAGCGTCTTCCATTTCTTCCATGCTCAAACCTTTCGCTGGATATTTTGAGGGGTAGTGATGAGACTATTGGATTTGAAGATATTCTTAATGACCCATCACAAAGTGAACTAATGGGAGAACCACACTTGATGGTGGAACATAAACTTGGTTTACTGTAACGCAGTATGCTGACCACAGAAATGGATGGGCGACATCTTGTTTATAGTCATCTTTTTACTATCATTTTATGTGTACAACAGTAAACGTACTGACACGTGTGCATTGTTGCCTAAGTATTATCAGCATTTGAAATTATTTGGGTCTTTGGTTTATGACCATGTGACAATTGAAAGTGCTAGAGATGGTTTTTAAATTCCTGGTTTATATTAAAACAATAGTCTTTTAGGTCTTTAAAAAAAAAAAAAAAAAAGGCAGTCTTCCCTCCAGGACCAGTTCCAGGGAGATGGATCCTGATTTTTCTTTAAATTCTCCATTTCTGAATTGGAAAAGAAGTAGGACCTCAATCTGTTTGAGTGCATCTTCTCTTCTCCAAAACAGCTAGAAGCCTGCACACTAGGGGTACTGTTGGGGCCCAGGGCAGGCCACCCCCAAATTCCCCATAATGACATATTGACAACTGGGAATTGAAGTCCCTTGACAAGTGGCCCGCGCAAGAGGGGCACACCGACCCGCCCTTGTCTCCCTGATGCAGGGAGCCGTCCCGGCCCAGAAGCTAACGCCTGGCGGCAGGGGGCTGACAGCCGCCCTCATCACTAGGGTTAAGGAATCCAGAAACCTCATCTAAGCAAAGCGCTTCCTCCTTCACTAGTTTACTCCCCAAGCCCAAGCTTTGTTTAGATTCCTCAGTGACGAGCACTCAAACCTGAATGTCCTGCCCAGTCATTTCCTCACAAATGGATTGCCCCTTTGCCTAAAAAGTATAAAAAGATGGCTGGTTCACCATTCGGAGAACATCGGCATTCATGGTCTCCCGTGCACACCTATCAAGTCGGTTTTTCTCCTAGTAATCTGGTCTCGGGTCAATTGTATTGTTAGTTCAAGAACTCAAGGAGCGGGGAGAGGGGGGCTCTCTCCTCCCAACAGTGCACGGGCTGAGCTCTGCCCTGTCAGCCCCGAAGGCTGGGCGTGGTGCTGACGCCTCTCAGAAACAAGGTCAGTCTCCTTGATCTCTGGGGATCCTCCTGCTCTGAATTCTGACCCCATGACCCCACCTGTCTTCAGACTAACAGTTGCCTTTTCCTGTCTCTCGCCAGCCCACAGCCTGGGTGCCAGCCTCGCTCATCTGCTCGCTGTTGTTCCGGTGTCTCCACTTGCCCCTCTGGATCCACGCCTGCCTTCTCACCCTGCTCTGTGTCCAGGAGGCTGGCCGGCGTGGACCACATCCGCACCCCCACCCCAGGTCTTCCAGTGGGCTCCACCACAGACGGACAGGAGGTTCCCTGGGCTGACCACGTCCCTCCACTGAGGGCTCCTGCTCCTGTCTGGAAGGCCCCTTACCTCCTCAGACTTCCCACTGTCGCCAGCCTCATGACTCATGACCCCCCACTGGTTCTCCTAAAACCCACCCACTGCTTTATTCACTTAGTTATTTAATCCACCCGAGGACACTTTTGCATTCATCTTCAGACAGAGCAGAAGGGAGAGAGGGAGGAAGAGAGAGAAAGACACATCAACTGGCTGCCACCCACGTGACCCCAACCGGGGCCAGGGACAAACTGCAACCGAGACACATGAGCAGGAACCAAACCTGGGTCTCTCTGGACCACGGGCTGACGCTCTAACCACTGAGCCAAACTGAACAGGACCCACCCACTGCTTTATAAATAGCCCCTTATTACATCTGTCCCCCCACCACCAAGAACCTAGACTGACAGGCTCATTTCTGCACCTTAGCTGGTGCCACAATCTCTGCCACTGGGCCTGGTGCCGCGTCCCCGGTCTCACTGACACCCAGCTCCCCCAGTAGGCACTCGCTCAGCACTGGGGTCGAGCACCCCTATTCGGCCCCCTGAGGCCCACTCTGCCCCCTCATAGAATGTGGCTGAGAGGGAAGATACCTGGAGCTCCCTCTGACCCACATCCTCCTCTTCCCCACCTCCTGCACCCTTAGCCCGAGGGCTCTGTTTAGTCAAATTCCATTTTAAAAAATCCAATGAGCTATTAACCAGCTGTCACCGTCTCTCTGAACTCCATGCTCCTCGCTGCTGCCTCTCCTGTTAGGACCATTCGTGCGTGTGACTCCCCTTCCAGGCTGCAAACCCCGCTCCAGCTGGTGCTCTGTTCTTCTCACCGGCTCCCTCTCCCTGCCACCCGCGCCCAGTTTGTTGCCTGGCACCCCATAAATGCCTCCTATGGCAAATATTGACAGGCTGCAGCCCGCAAGGCGAACGCTCTGGATGGTGCTGTACAATATTTACCGAGCAGGGACAACGCCCCAGGCACGTCACACCTCATCTTGTTTCATCCCCACCCCAGGCCTGCAAGACAGGTGTTATCCCCATGTTACATATGTGGAAACTGAGGCACAGGCGGGTGAAGCAACTTGCCCCAGGCCCCACGTCCAGAAAGGGCTGGAGCCAGGATTGAGCACAGGTGTGGCAGCTGGCACAGCCTCCCTCTCCTCTTCCCACCCTGCGGCCGTGCCAACAGTCGGGACCCAGACCCACCTGGGGACACGTCTCAACTACAGAAGGCAGCCCCTGGTGAGCAGTGCTGGCTGAAGGGCCTCTCCACACCTTCCGGAATGAATCGCTAAGGCATTAGCACATTCCTGCTTTCTATGAAGCGTAGCCAAAAGGCCTCAAAAGTAATTAGTTCATTTAAGTAGGCTAAATGTTTCCCCAGCAATCTGGTGTAGCTTTAATTGGCATGGAGTCTTGGAGAGAGTAAAAAAGTAAACTTTAGCCCAGACCCTTTGCAGGTGTTTCCCATACATTTTATGGATCAGATTCACTCCCTTTGGCCACTTGCTCCTGCCAGGCCTGGCGGGCCAGGGAGCAGGGCAGGAGGTGCCCTGGCCGTCCGCCCGCGAGGAGGAGGAGGTCGGGACACAGCCGGAAGCGCTGCAGCTGTACTGGCTGTTCTCACTCCTGTCGCCCCGGCCCCCAGGCTCTGGGCGGGGCTCCCGCCAGGCTAAGGAGTCGGATTTGACTCAAAGCAGAGGGGAGTCTGAAGATTTGTGGGTGGGGGTTCACCTAACTGAATGCTCACGTTCCTCAGAACCACGGGACGGCTGCTGTGGGTGGGACACCGGGCTAGATGCTGTCCCCGTGGTTCTCAGGCCACGGAGATCTCGCTGGGCCTGCACTTCTCCTGTCTCCCCTCAGACTGGGCTCCCTGAGGACGGGTTTACCGTCACCACCAGTTTCCTCCTCAACTGCAGGGACCAGACGCCCCACTCCGCACACCTCGCTACCCTCCTCTGGGGCGCAGACGCTGCAGCTACAGACAGCAGGTGGGCCGTCTCCAGAGTCAGATGAACAAGCAGACTACAATCGGGGACAGTCGTGGTTCTGCTTGGGGAAGGGGCTCAGCCTACCTCCCTCCACTGCTTGTTCTCCATTCCTTGAGTATACATGACGCACACTGTGGGGAGAGGAACAAAGGTTAGCACGCCAGGCAGGCCTAGAGGAAGGTGGTTCCCAGATGAGGGCCCTGGAGGGGCCGGGGCCTTGGAGGGTCTGGCCTGGGTAGCAGTGTTGGGTCTGGGGGCATTGCCAGCTTAGCGAAGGGGGCCTAGGACATCGGCGTGTCTTGGAGGAGTGCCCTTTGGGAAGGGGTCAGGGTCCATTCCATTAGCATCTAGGTCTGAGCAAGTGTGAAGTGTGAGGCAGCCTGGCAGGCGGGCACGATGGAGGGCCTGCCGGCAGAGGTGAGCATCCGGACGCAAACCATCCCTCTCGGGCCCAAGGCAGCCTCAGAAGGCCTGTTAACTATCATCAGCCTCCCTGCACTGTCGGGCCAACTGAGGCTCAGAGGAGGCCAATGACCTGTTTGAGGTCACATACTTGAATGGCATTTCTCCAGGCAAGGACCCTGGACTACAAAAACAGTGCTCGTTCCCCCAGACCACAGCCAACTGGGCTCTCAGATGCACTGGTTTCCCTGGGACTGAAAACTTCAGGCCCAGACACCCTGACCCAACCGGACCCACAGGGTTGTGTTGAGGCTTCACAAGTACGGGGGCTGGGAAGGGCCAGCTGCCCAGGTTCTTTCTGCACAGTATTCATGGAACTGCCTCAGGGCGCCCACTGCCCCTGGCACGGACTGAGCGCCCAGTAGGAGATCAAGCTTGGCCACCGCGACCTGTCACAATGGGGTTGCTGTTGTTACTGTTATTATTGTCAGGGCAGGACTTACGTGGGTCGGACTTGGAAAACATGTCTTTGTCCAAAAGGTTCCTGAAAGAAGGAGAGAGAGCAGGAGTTAGCAGAGCCCAAGAAAGGAGGCTCTCGGGGGACTCAGGCCTTTCCTGAGACCCCAGGCTGTTTATTTGGCACTTGCTCCTGCCAGGAGCCCACAGGGTGGACACTGGAGGGTCCTCAGCTCAGCTTCCGAAGGAGTGCAGCTCCGGACCTCTCCCCCACCTCCTGACCATCCTGCAGCTCCGGACCTCTCCCCCCACCATCCTGCAGCTCCAGACCTCTCCCCCCACCATCCTGCAGCTCCGGACCTCTCCCCCCACCATCCTGCAGCTCCCGACCTCTCCCCCCACCATCCTGCAGCTCCCAACCTCTCCTCCCACCATCCTGCAGCTCCCGACCTCTCCCCCCACCATCCTGCAGCTCCCGAACCCTCACCCCACCATCCTGCAGTTCCCGACCCCTCACCCCACCATTGCCACACTCATGCTGGTACCCTGGATTCCACAGCCCCCACTCTTGGGCCAAATCTCTATTTGCCCAATGTCTTAGCCTGTTGCAGAAATTCTCCTCTTACCATGTGTCTGTTTCTCGAAAAATAAAATCAAGCCATCAGAACGTATCCATCCAGTGTCCGTTCTCTCAGAGCTTTACTTGCCAACAGTTTATCCCATCACCTCATCTGTGCTGATGGATTCATGAATTATACCTCCCAGGGGCTGCAGACTCATTTGGTCAAGGCCACAGCTAACACATGGCCCTGGTAATCAGACTTGCAACATTCAGCGAGGTGATGGACACCATGTTTGGGGACTTAGAGGTCTTTAACAGGTGTGAGCCCCCTGCCTGCCCCTGCAGTCACAGCTCTGGCCCATTGGACTGCGTGATGGGTCAGGCACTGTGCTAAGTGTCCTGTAAAGAGTAGCCCCCAATTCTCACACTGCCCTCCGAGGTCAGTGCTGGGGAGACCAGGCAAGGGTCTGCCCTGCACACGTGGTGTCCCTCCAGCTCTCTGAGCTGTTTCCTCCTCTGCACGTTGCAGACAACAGTGCCAGCCTGGAAGGCTGCGAAAGCCCTGCGCTGCCCCGCCCCCCGCTCCTGCGTACCCCTGGCTTCCTCCTGCTCTCCCCAGGGCGTTCCTTCTCTGGCAGGTGGGCTGCAAGTACGGGGACGTTTATGTGCACAGGGCAGCCTTCCAACAGCGACGGGCAGGAGTTAGAGAATAATTACCAGCTTCCTTACTCCCCTCTGCAGTCAACCCCCTGAGGCTGCTCCAGTCTCCCAGGGGGGCCCCGTGGGACGCAGCCCCAGGACACCTATTCATTAAAGACCAGAGTTGACTGGGCAAAGGCTCCCCACATGCCCCATCCCTGAAGGAGCTCCCTATGGGCCCCTCCTCCCTGCTCCAGCTGCTCCCCACCCCCACTCCCTTCCTATAGTGCCCTGAATTAAGCTGTGTCCTGGCCAGCCCTCAGCCCTGTCCCGACGCCCTCCAGATGACCTCTCACCTTTCCCCTCCCACTCCCACACTCCCCCAGGGCCTTTGTGCCCCTTGAGCCCCTTCCCCAGAGAGGAGATGGGTCTGTGTGGCTTCCTGTTAGCTAACTCCAAAGGTCAGAGCTGGAAGGAGCTGCACACCTTCTCCTGAGGAGGGCGCCCGGGGCCCAGGGAGGGGCCAGGCCCACAGCAAGCTGTGGCAGAGCCACAAAGGCCTGGAGATCTTACACTGAGTCACCATCGCCAAAGCCATCGGACGTGACAGCTTGTCTGGGCAGCCTGACCCCACATTCAACTCAGTCGCCCATCACCCCGTCCGGACTTGGGAGCCAAAGGCCTACTGACAGGCAGATAGACACACAGATGCAGTAGCAATTTGGCGTGAGCACGTGAGCACGTGGCGTCCCCTGCTGCCTGGGAAGGCCCCAGATGATGCCCATGAATCACCCAGCTGCAGTCCCCAGGCAGATTTCCAGAGATGTCTCTGAGAGATTCCCCAAATCCACATCCTCTACTCCATTCTCTTCATTCGGGGGGGCTTCCCCGCAATGGCACACAACCCCTCTGCTAGCCGCCCCCACCCCTCCACCACACCTGCTTCCAGCCAGCTGTCACTCTGGAAACCATCTGATAAACCTCCCAGCCCCCGCAGTGAGCATCAGAGGAAACTATAGGACTGGAGGGGCTGCAGGTAAGACGCCACTGTATACGTGCTCATCCACACCGAGGCAGCTGACCTGTGCCTGGGTTGACCTGCCCTCCTGCAGAGAGCTAGGCTTGGAGGCAAGAGCGTCTGTCTTGCTTTTAACAAAGAACAACGTGCCTTAGCACCAAAGATGACTCTACAGTGGTGGAACCTGAGGCCCAGTGAGGAGCTGGGAAGTAAGAAAGAGGGTTGGGAGGCGGGACTTCTCTGCTAAAGCAAGTGCTAGGCTTCTCTCTGGATGCTGTAAAGAACTTCTATAATTACATAAAATCCTAGAATGGTCAAGCTGCAAGGGGCCTCAGAGGTCGCCTTGTCCAATTCCTTTATAAATCAGGAATGTGAGACTCAGAGAGAAGGCAAGTGACTTCTCCAAGGTCTGGGTCCCCTCCAAGTCTGGGTCCAGAACTCAGACTTAGTCATGTCTAGGCTAGTAAGAAAGAGAGTGAGATCCTGGCTTTCAGCCTGGGCGTGCGTGTGGTGTGTGTGTGTGAGTGTGTGTGTGCGTGTGCGTGTATTGTGTGTGTGTTGTGGGTGTGTGAGTGTGTGCGTGTGCTGTGTGTGTGTTGTGGGTGTGTGTATTGTGTGTGTGTTGTGGGTGTGTGTGTGCGTGTGTGTGTGCGTGTGAGTGTGTGTGTTGTGGGTGTGTTGTGGGTGTGTGAGTGTATTGTGTGTGTGTTGTGGGTGTGTGAGTGTGTGCGTGTGCTGTGTGTGTTGTGGGTGTGTGTATTGTGTGTGTGTTGTGGGTGTGTGTGTGCATGTGTGTGTGCGTGTGAGTGTGTGTGTTGTGGGTGTGTTGTGGGTGTGTGAGTGTGTGCGTGTGCTGTGTGTGTGCTGTGGGTGTGTGAATGTGTGTGTGTGAGTGTGTGTGTGTGTTGTGGGTGTGTGAGTGTGTGTGTGTGTTGTGGGTGTGTGTGTGCGTGTGAGTGTGTGTGTGTTGTGGGTGTGTTGTGGGTGTGTGAGTGTGTGCGTGTGCTGTGTGTGTGTTGTGGGTGTGTGAGTGTGTGTATTGTGTGTGTTGTGGGTGTGTGAGTGTGTGCGTGTGTTGTGGGTGTGTTGTGGGTGTGTGAGTGTGTGCGTGTGCTGTGTGTGTTGTGGGTGTGTGAGTGTGTGTGTGTGAGCGTGTGTGTGTGTTGTGGGTGTGTGAGTGTGTGCGTGTGCTGTGTGTGTGTTGTGGGTGTGTGAGTGTGTGCGTGAGTGTGTGTGTTGTGAGTGTGTTGTGGGTGTGTAAGTGTGTGTGTGTGCTGGGTGTGTGTTGTGGGTGTGTGAGTGTGTGCGTGTGCTGTGTGAGTGTGTGAGAGAGAGAGCGCACACCAGCTTTATCTTCACAGAGAAGCAGACAGGCTTTTCTTAGCTCTGCCCGCCCTCCCAGCTGGGCAAGAGGCTCACAGCCGTACTAAGAAACAGAATCCAGCCAACTAGCTTTGGTGGCTCCCTGCCCAGTGACCTCAGGTCTCTCACTGCACCCTGGGGCATGGGTCATCCTGGCCACGAACTCAAGGGCAATGCCAACCCTCTTCCCTCCATGCTGCTGAGATCATGCTTACATCCTTCCAGACCCACTCCCATCCTTCCTCCTTGATCTTGCCTTTCCTGAACAGACACTGACCAAAGGCATTTCCTCTCCCTGCTGAGCTCTCTCTGGCCTGGAGTGTGCAACCCTCCGATTCGTACCCAGTGCACCCTGGGCAGCAAAAGCAGGGGTGCCTCTGTCTCTCACACTGGCTCCTTCAGGACAGGGACCCCGCCTGTGTGCCGGGCAGCCCAGCACCTGGCCCAGAGCAGGAGCCTGGCAAATTAGATGGCTGAAGGCGACCAAAGCAATGGGTGAGCGGGGTCCTCGTCTCCTCACCGGCACGGCGCCTGGGCATGCTCACAGCAGGCCCCGATGCTTCCTCTTAGCTAGAGAGCCTACTGGTTAAGCGCATGGGCTACAGTCAGACATGTTGGGTCCATAGCCCAGACCTGGACAAGTTCCTTGCCTTCCTTGTACCTCAGTTTCCCCATCTGTAAAGCGAAGCTAATCTCAGTTCCTCCCTCAGGACTGCTGTGGACCCAGCAGCTCTCAACCAATGAGGACTGTCAGATGGGTCTGTCATCATGGGCCAGGCCAGAGCAGTCTCTCCCACGGTGGGTGACAAAGGAGAGACAGGATGGGTGACATGGCACCTCCACCCTCACCAGTCCAAGGAAGCCCACCCCCGACACACGCACTTCCAATGCCCTGCTGTGAAGTGTGAGTTGAATGCCCCACGGGTGAGGGCCACCCCACCACCCAGCCTCAGGCTTCCCCTCGGCCTCCCTTCCTTGAGGACCCCTGCTCCTCTGCCTGGTCCCGGCACCCTCCACGTCTCTGACCCTCGCCGCGTCCACACTTGCCCCACCTGTGCCTCACCTCGGCTGCCTGTCCCCCTGGCCTTGAGAAGCAGCTTCACCCCTGCACAGTGGGCCTCTCACTTCTTGGGACTCGCCCCTTCTCCCACTTATAAGACGGATTCTTGGGCCCCATTCCTGGAGTTTGACTTTGTAGGTCTGGGCAGGGCCCCAGAAGCCATGTTTAAAGAACACACACACACACACACACACACACACACACACACACACGGTTTCCAATAACAGTGGTCGATACCACACGTCAGGACACCGGGTCTTAGGGCCTCGGCCTCACCCACTGCGACAGCGTACTCATGCGTGGCTCGTGAAGGCTCTCACATGGGTCTCACGCTGATCCCCTGGGGACTCAGAGAGGGTGAGGGACTTGCCCACAGGCACACAGCCAGTAGGAGCCAGGGGAGTGGAAACCAGGTTTCCCACCGCCGAGCAGGGCCCGAACCACAAG